AACTCATAGAACTAGAGAGCAGAAAGGCAGTAGCAAGGGCTGGGAGGTGGGAGAAATGGGGAGATGTTGGTTAAAGGATACAAACTTTCAGTTACAATGTTAATGCGAGGATCTAATTCACTGCAGGGGTGGTAATGCATGGCACAGCTTTCCATTACTGTGACAAAATCCTGGAGATAACCAACTTACAGGGAGGAAAGGTATATTTTTGTTCATGGTTTCGGAAGATTTGGTCACTTGGCTCCACTGCTTTTGGGCCAGTCGTGGGGCAGAACATCATGGTGGGTGGGGAGTGTGTGACATAGCAAAGCTGCTCACCTTGGGTGGACAGGAAAGAGGGGCAGGGCTCCAGTATTCCCATTCAAGGCCACACCCCCAGTGACCTAAAAGTTTTACCCCTTCTCAATAGTTCCACAGGCTGGGGAAAAGAAGCTTTAACACACAGCCCTTTGGGGGCACTCGCGATCCTAACTATAGTAGATGTTAATGAATTTGTGGTAACCATTACATAATGTGTACATATATCAAATTATGACATGGTGCATCTTGAATATACACAATATTCATTTGTCAATTAAATATTTTAAAATAAAATAAAATAGTACACCCTTTGATAAAGTTGGGAAATATCCATAATAAAAAAAGTCTACAGAGGGCTGGGGATTTAGCTCTGTGGTTCTACCACCTGCCTCACGAGTGCAAGGTTGAGTTCAACCCCTGGTACCAAAAAAAACCTATAGAATTCTATAACTGCTATTTTATAGATGAGGAAATAAACTTAGAGAGGCTTAGCAAGTGCTTTGGAACCTGAGCTGTGACTAGTCAGTGGCTTCAGAATATAATTCCAAGTAGGTATTTTGAAATATGAACATTCAATGGCTAAGCGATGATGCCCACTCTTCTATTTCAAGCCAGTGCTTTGAGATAGGCAGCGGCCTTGTGCAGAGGCCAGGGAAGCTGACGTTTTGAGAAATCAGGAGTTCACTATGGAATGCAGAGACCAGGAGGAAGACTCAGATTTCTTGACTTTTCCTCAAAAGCAAACACCAGACCTCATGGCCAACATGCTGCAGAGGAGGGATGTAGGCATGGGCTTCTGGCCTGAAGTTCCCTATGGGTCATGTCTCCACAGTCAGCTCACTTACCTGTACATGCCTCCGAAATCCACCGTGGGAAATGAATGGTATGACCCTTGTGCTGGGCTGGCCACCCGGGGCACATAGAGGTGCAGATGAAACACAACTCCAGAGGTTGGTTGAGTGCAAAAGCACCACAGGGATGCTCCTTGCTTCTCTGCATATTTGTGCGTAAAGGAAGATGTGGCTGAGGGGCCCTCAGAAGAGGCCATTTTGGTGGCAAATTGGGGCTCAGGGAGTTTCTTGCCTTGTCATTCAGTCCAGTAACTTAAGGAAAAAGTCTGAGCAGAAGGGACCCACTCAAGCCTGCCCTGGGAAGTGGCTTGGCATTCCTGAACTTTCTCTTGGCAGTTGGGTCATGGATGGGACACTTTTAGCCTGAACTTCTCAGAAGCAGCCGGCATTGTCCATTAGGGCCTGTCCATCCAGTTCAAGTTCACAGTGATAAATCTCGCAGCCTCTAAGGGTCCTCACAAAGGTGGGTGTGGTGTGCTGATAGTAGGCATGATTAAGTGCTTTCCTGTGTCAAATATAGCTGTAATATACTACAAACAGGCAGTCAAGCTTTATACAAACTGATCTGGCCACTATCAGCTGCTCTGACATTTTATACTAATACTTAAAATAAATCTAGAAACAGGAAAGAAAGTACAGAATTATTGTTTCAAGCAGCCTGTGAGAGCTTATCTTCAAAGTGGCAGAGGTCCTATTGTATTTAGGGAAAGTGCTGCTGCACTGGCATAAAGGTTAATGGCTGGACTTCATGGCCGCCTCGAGCCAGTTTCCCATGTGAGCACAGGGGGCCAGCTCTGCAGAGTGGCACTTACCTGCCAAGGGGCTCTGTCCCATGAACATTTTCTCTTGCTCACTTGAGGACGTTTCGGTGCCCTGAAAGCACTGGATGTACTGTAAGCAACAATTTAAAATTTTAGAAATATTCCTTAAACAAAACTGCTACAATTCCCTGTGGCGGGTCATAGGTTAAGGTCTGAAAGTGTTTTCTTGTTTTAAAATGTTGGACTTGACTCTTGCACATGTATGTTTCACAGCTGAAAACAAATTTAAGCTTATCTTGTTCTGGATTTTCTTCCTGACATGAGAATCTGAGAAAATGGGATCTTTTTATGTTGCTCAGGCTGACCTTAAACTCCTGGGCTCAAGAGATCCTCCTGTCTCAGCCTCTGCCTAGCCACTAAGATTTTAAAAAAGAAGATAGAAATCATCTAGCTCCTCTGGTAATTCTCAACCCAGGAAATACATCAGAATCAATTGAGGGAATTTTTAAAAAAGAATTCCTCACCAGAGTCCAGTGTAATTGTTCTGAATGTTCTAGAGTTGAATTTTGGGGGACTGGTATGTTTAGGAACTTCCCATAGTGATTCTAACAGGCAGCAGAGGAGAAACAATCACTTTGTTCCCTTCATCAGATAGACCTCACATCCGAGAGCTGATAGGAGAGGGAACAGGGCTTCTGTGAGGAGAGAGAGGACTGGCTGGAAATGGAGCCCCAAGCTCCTACTTCAGCAGTGCTCACTCTGTACTAGGATTTACTGGGGCCTTGCACTGGAATAAGTTGAGGAAGGGACCAAACGCTCAATTCATGGTCTTATTTGCAATTGTGGATTAGATTGCTTCCTCATAGCTTTACCTCATAATTCAGTTTCCCATTCTACAAGCATAATAATTTTATTTATTTATTTAATTTTCCACGACCGGGGATCGAACTCAGGACCTTGCACTTGTGAGGCAGGCACAGTGCCACTGAGCTAAATCCTCAGCCTTAAAAGATTTTATTTTTATTTTTATTTTATTTATTTATTATTACTATTATGTTTTTGGTACCAGGGATTGAACTCAGAACCTTGCACTTGCCAGGCAGGCGCAGTGCCACTGAGGTAAATCCCTTCCCCAAGGATTTTATTTTTAATTGTACTGGAAAGTCCTTTCTCAGCTCTTCCATCCTCACTCAGAGCAATTTGGTACAGATTTGAATCATTAAAGATGGAAAGAGTGGTGTTCATATTCATTTTGTAAATTTGAACCAAGTATTAAAAATGGCATGGGTTCCAGTGCCTGCCTCGCAAGCTCAAGGTCCTGAGTACGATCCCCGGTACCAAAAAAAAATTTAAAAAGCATGGTAAAGATGTTACAAAGTACAACTGTACTGGACTGGGTGATACCTGGAGTTCTGGTTCTCACATTATTTGTAAGAATGAGAAAGCTACTTGCTCACCTCTGAGGTCCTCATTCCTTTTTTTTTTGGTACTGGAGATTGAACTCGGGACCTTGTGATTGGGAGGCAGGCACCAGAACCACTGAGCTAAATCCCTGACCCAGGTCCTCACTTTTGATAAAAGTTTAAAAGCAACATGTTTTATCAGAGGGTACAGTACATGTAATACATGATTGTGGAGATCATCTGTCCAATAGTAGAAGAAATTGTAATACTTTGGTGACTGAATGATATCTCCCAGAGGAGGCCAACACTGGTATAAATGCATCATTAGCCCTTGTGGTTCGGTTTTTGGTTTGGGAAGATGACCAGTCTGAGACACCTCCATGAGGCTGGTGGGAGCTGCTCTGATTCTAAGACCTGCTCTCCTGTCTGTCCCCTCCCACTTGGGGACAGTAGCTCCCAAGGCCAGGGCAGCAGCACTGTGTACAGCCGCCCAGGTTGCCAGCCACAGTGACTTGCCCTAGGGAGCAAATCTTGTTAAGCATGGAGAAGCCTAACGCTACTTTTGTTTTGTTTTTAACAGATCTCACCTCAGGTTTATTTGTTGTTTTTTTGGGTTTTTTTTGGTACCGGGGATCGAACTCGGGACCTTGCGCTTTCGAGTCAGGTGGCGGAACCACTGAGCTAAATCCCCGGCCCTCAGGTTTCTTTGTACAAACAGTACAGGAGAAAACAAGCCACATGCAGACTGTGGCCCGGGGTTACTCCCATCCTTCTGTCCTCAAGTTGGAGGCACAGGCCTGTCCTACAGAACCTTCGGTGGGTACCCGGGCACTTTTGTGGGTTCAGCCTTGGTGGTGTTGGTCTGGATCTTTTTCAGGCCTTCCTTGTGCTTCCTGGCAAAATGGATGTTCCTTAGCACTTGCAGTCCACCATCTTAACAGACTCCTATCTTTGTGATTCAGTTTTCTTGAGGCCGTTTTGGTGCCATTTCACAGACTTGGCCATATCTGTGCCAGGACTAGAAGAGGAAGGTCCAGGCTGCTTTTGAGTCATGGCCGGCTCTTCCCACTCCGTGCCCTTTGGTCACGTAGCCTCCCTCACTCCCCGAGTCTTCCACATTCCATCCTCCATCTCCACCCTGATCTATGTGCTTCGAATTCTCACTGTATCTAGGTTAGGCCTGGGCAGGCCTCACCATCTTCTGCCTACTTATCACAATAAACTCGTTGCTGCCTTTTCTGCTTCACCATGTTTTCTTCCCGTTCATTATCTATCCACCTGCAGCATCAGGTGATACTTCTCTCAGGATTGAAAAATAGAGATTTCTGGGATTAGGGATGTAGCTCAGCGGTAGGGCTTTTGCTTAATATGTATGAGGCCCTGGGTTTGATCCCCAGCGTGAGCATGCGCGCGCGCGCGCGCGCGCACCCCCCCCCCCCTTACAATCCCCACTGTCTTCTTTTTTTTTCCTTTGGTACCAGGGATCAAACTCAGGACCTTGCACTTGCGAGGGAGGCGCCAGGACCACTAAGCTAAATCCCCGGCCCAGCCCACTGTCTTCTTAACTGATTTCGCTATGCTTCCCCTCAGCCTGTTTCCTTTTATGCTTACTCTGTGCCCGCCAGGCACTCGGCCATGGATGGCTGCCACCTGACCCCAGCTGTACTGCTTTCATTAATCCAAGGTGAGAGGCGCACACGGGGCGCTCTCTGAACCCTCCAGGTGATTTTAATGTGCAGCCAGGTTAGAAAACCTCTGCTTGGTCTTTGTGGCCTTCACGTCGTTGCTTAAGCTTTTGCATCCTCCCAACTCCTGACCTTTACACGGGCTGCCCCTTGCACAGGATCCTACCTACTTCTTCTGGCTGCCCGTTCACACTTCTAAGAGGAGGCTATCAGGCTTTCAGATGTTGCGAGGTAGGGAAGGCCGGTAAATCATCATTTTGTGAGAATATGAGAGGAGGGATGTTACCTGGAACATGGGGAGAAGGGCCTTCCTTCGTGGAAAATGGGCTTTGTCTTGCAATTCTGGCCGGCTGTGGCTCCAGATCACAGAAGGCTTTGTCTTCTCTAAGACAAAGGAAGAGCAGAAATGAGAGACTGTGACAGACTTAGAATCCATTCCACCTGTGAACTTACGTGTCCTCTACAAATTCTTTGCACAGCTTCCTTGCAACCTTCTCTCACCTCTGCACATTACAGGTAAGTAACACCTCCTCAGCCCTCTAGATCTGCTTTGCCTAATTGGGGTGAGGGTGGAAGCAGGGAGGGAGTGTTGAAAGATCTTTAGGAACTGCACTAGTCGCAATGATAACTCCCCAAAGACAGGAATAAAACTGGCTCTAGCACCCCGTTCGATTTGTGTGAGAGACAGAAAGCAGTTCAGGTGATTAGTAAAAGCAGCTTGACATCGATCATTTCCTCCAACCCTCTTATACTCCTCTTTTCCCTGTAAGCATTCTTTTTTTTTTTTTTGGTACTGGGGATCGAACTCTGGACCTTACACTTGTGAGGCAGCTGGTGGAACCACTGAGCTCAATCCCTGGCCCACCTACAAGCATTCTTGACATTTTCTTCTTCTGATTCATGCAAGGACTTAAAGATTTTACCTTAAGAGTGCCTTCCTGGCAAACCTGAGGTCCTGAGTTTGATCCCCAGTACTAAAAAAAAAGGAAAAAGAAACAGATTTTACCTTAGAAGTCTATAAATCATATATAAATAACAACCCAAGTTCATGTAAGTAAAGGAGAATTTTGGTCAGCCCAGTCCCAACCCTGTAGTTCACAAACCCAGGTGATCTCAATATGAAATGCAATTCAAATAGCTGTGGTTTGCAGATGCCTTGACTAATAGTAAAGGGTGTGGGATGTGGATCCCTTCCAATCCCAACCCCATTGTTTACTAGTGTGTGACCCTGAGCACATTCCTAATCTCTCTGTACCCCCTTTTCCTCCTCTCAGAAATGGGTGTGATCATAGTACCTATCTGTCTCAGAGGTCGGTGTGAGATTTAACTGAGTGACTGCTTCTGAAGTCCGTACCCAGATCTTAGTAAGTACCTGATAAATATTAACTTAAAAAAGATGGTTAGTTTTTTTTCTTTTTCTGGCAATATTCATCTTGATGCTAATTATGCCACTTTCTTTAGAGAGATTGGACTAAGTGGCCCTCATAAAGATGGCACAAGAAAGAGAGGTTTTCTGCTTATATCCAAGTCCTGGTTCAAGATGGGCTCTGTGCCTGATTAACATGCCCCTCACAACACATTTAAACCTAGGAGTGACATTAAGAGAAGGGAGCTCCGGGCTACAGAGCTGGTTTAGTGGCAGAGCTGTGATTAGCCTTCCAAGCTCCATGTTTTCCCATACACCAGGTCTCCAAATTGCACTGAGTATGACCCCCACTTCCCACTCCGTAGTAGATCAGATGCTAATTTATTTCGTGTAAATATTTATCATCTAAGACTGTCTAGGATTAAATAAAAGTCAGAAATATTTATCGTTTCTGAAAGGACAAATTTGCAGAAAAAAATGTAGAAGAACTTTTTCAGAACACTTTGCTGTTCTCCATCTTGTCAACTGCTCCAGCAGAGCTTAGGTGTAGAGAATGGCTATATGGTGTGTGGGCAGAGATCAAGATATTACAAAGGAAAGCATTACACAGTCATTTCAAAAGAAAGGACCTGCAAATTTATATCGTTCAACCAAGCAGGTATTCAAGAGTCTTGCTTGAAAATAGACGCATTGAACATTGTAACAGTATAGCTTTCGATATGGTGCTAATGATATCCCTTTGTTGTTTTTATTAAGAGGATAAAATTTCTTACAATTAAATCAGGGCCAAGTAAACAGCGGGGTCAGAACTGAATAACGTCTAAAAACATGTTCACAGAAAAGAGAGGAATTCCCTGAGAAAGAGAAAGACAGTTGGGTAATTTTAACATATTTTGTGTTCAGGCTATATGTCGCAGTGTGTGGTCCCCCCGCCCCCCGCCCCGGGTTAACCCATTCACGGTAGGAAACACAGGGTGATGACCAGGAAGGTGCTGACAATGGGGCATTCACCCACCTCTGGTTTTTGACTGCAGTGTCAGATCAGGATAGGTTTTCATGTCATTCGTTTTTGTTGAATCACACCATCACAAATCACACCACCACACCGACGGCGGTCTCCTAGCCTGGGAAATCTTTGGTTTTCTTAACGCTGTGTATTCAGAATCCCTGCAAAGTGTGGCTCACTTCGACCACGTTGACCGCGTCAGTCACATTTTTCAGCCTAGGTCTCAGCAAGTGCCTGTGAGGCTGCATGAACCTCAGCTCCCACCAGCAGCAGGGAGGGGTTAGGCACAGGGATGGCATTCTCCAAAGATGGGCAGTGACTAGACGGCCCTCACCACTGGGGGTCAGTCTGTCAGGGTTAGGGATTGCCTGGCTGTGACACCACCTGTTGAGCCAAGACAATGCTTACTAAAGATTAGACCCACAATCTTCAACTGGACAGAACCTAACCAGATCAGTTTGGGGAAGATCCTTAACCTGACTCCCTTAGTACCTGCAAGGAAATCACGGTAAGATTAGAAAATGTAATTACATCTGATAAAGTGTTTGCCAAGACATTGTTTGAAGAGAGGGCTTAGCCAGTCCTATTGTGTAAAGGTTGATGGAGAGCTGAATTTCAAGCTACTGGTCTCTCACCTCCCACAGAACAAAATCTGATTATATTTGAATGTTTAGAAAGCAGCTCACAGTCCTTAGAGTTCCAGCTCTTCACAATGCAGTCTATTTGGCAAAAACTAGCCTTACATTAGTATACAGGCCAGGACCAGTGCCCTACCTGATCCCTGGCTAACTGGTTTCGGGCTCTCTTGTGTAGCTCCCTCCTTCACGTGTGCCTGGGAGAGCTCTGATCTCATTATATTAAAACTCTATTTCTCCGACTATCTCCTCCACTGGACTGAAAGGTCTTTCTTTTAAAGGACAGATACTCTTTTTTTTTTTTTAATTCTCTGAGCCAGCACAGTTTGCCCTCTGGAAACCACTTCTGGCATGTTTTCTGGCCTGAACTAAACTTGCTCAGAGAAACCTTGAATTTTCCCACTGGTCAGTCTTAGAAAGGTTGGTGGAGCAGATATGGGGAATCAATGAGATCCCAGGATGATGGGGTTGAGAATTTACTAAAAGCCTGGGAGGCGTGGGAGGGAATGAAGGTAGAAGGGGAACAGAGGAGCCCTTTAGCTGAAGGATATGGCTTATTCTATGTTTGAACTGGAAAAGATTATCTAATCCACTCTTTATTTCACAAATGGGGAAAATAGCTCAGACAAGGTCACATAGAAGGATTGTGGCTTGTATTTTCTATGTCTTGAGGAAAGAGTGTGAACCAGGAGGTTGGTTACAGATCTAAAGATCTGGGACCTAAAGAATCTTAAGAATACATGACATAGCTAGACATGTAAAAAGCAGACATTTTGCATTCAGAACACAAAACAATAGAGAAAATATCCCTTTAATTGTATTTATCCAAAATTAGGTTTCATTAAATGGTCCCAAATGAGAGAAATGTTTATTGTGCTTTTTCCCTCAATAAGTCCTCCACCTTCCTTAGCCTATTTCCACCTTTTATCTCAGAGCTTGGACTTAATGAGCTCCCTGCTGGGCTTCAGCCCTCTGTTGCTCTAGCACTCCTATCCTCACTAAGGAAAGGAAGAAATACAGTGGTTGCAGATGTTAACCCCCCCCCCCCCAAACAGCTCTCAACTAGTTCCTGTAAAAAGGTGAAGGTGCTGGGCTGAGAGACACAGCCACCTGTTACCGGTGGCTCCCGGGAGGCCTGTGCTGTGGCTGCAGACTCACACACTCCGTGAAATGTTTAACGTAAAAGACACATGACTGACTTTTATAAAGCAGCTTCACCTAGAGCAGGTCTCTTTCTTCCTTAGCAATATTGGCGGCGGTGGTGGTGGGGGGATAAGCCAGCAGCCACCCCATTTTACAGATGGAGGAAGAGGCAGAGCAGAGGGTTGAGCAGCTAGGGCCCCGGAGCTAGGCCCAGGAAAGCACTGCACACACTTATCTTTCTGAAGGAGGCCAGTCGGAGTGTCCCAAGTGACCCAGTCTCTCTTTCTCAATCCCTCCAGGCATTCTTGTTGTGGGCTGTGGGACATTAGCATCAAGATCAGTCTGTATTAAGATCCTCTAACTCAGACGCTGTAGGAAGCAAAAGGTGAATTTCACAGAACACATTGGCAGCCACAACATTTTGGAAACATTTGGGTTTATCTTTTCCTTCCCTGCTCTGTCAGGACTGTCAAGTAACACCAAACCATTCCAATGTAAGTCCTCACCTGCTCCATGTAGGAAATGGTACACAATGTGAAATAGATGATTTCCAGGCACATTTCCATTATCCCAATGCCTTTTCATGAACCACTTCCAGTCGGCTGGTTATCTAATCCTTGTGCAGATTCTGGCAATACAAAGATGTCCCATGACCCAGAAATCCACGCGCAGTAAGAACACCTCATAGCCATTAATTGTTTTAGTCCAGAGATTTTTAAATCCACTTATGATTAAATGTCTATTCCAGGCTCATTTATAGCAAAACAGTCTCTTTCCATTGAAGTTGGACATTAAATTTCCTTTAAAACAAAAATATCAAAGGGCCCATGGATTTGTAGAGAATCCTGGTGTCCATCTTTCATCTGTGTGGAAGGTCCCGAGTCCCGTAGGCGGCTGTGCAGGTAGGCAGCAGGCTTGGGGTTGGCAATTCCAGAGATAGTTTTTCTTGTGATATCTCTTTGAAAATATAGTCTTTATACTTAATAAAAAATCAGAGCAACGATGAGCGATTTCTAGTACCCCAACCCACATCAAGCAGCCCACAAACCATCCTTACGTACACAGCTAACAGGATGGCAGTCCAGATGGCGAGGGCAGAACCATCCTCGGGTTCAGTCTCAGAGACTGAAAATGAAGGGAAAGACCTGGAAAACTGGGATTTAACCACCTCGCCCTGGCTTCTGCTACAATGGGATATTGTTGGGCCTGGGCCCCATGAAACAATAGACTTCGATAGGAACAGGACACCTGTGCAGGAGGACAGCTGCACGTCCTGGCTCCTAGGCACCTGCGGCCTAGTTTGCTCTGGCTGCACACGATGTGTGTGTGTTACCGATTATTTTGTTGAACTCTTTTCCTGTTCACCCCCACACCCATGGCTTTATGTCTATTCTACATTTTAGCAAGTCCAGGGTAGTTGTGGCCTCTTGAAAGGCTGGGTGATGTGTCACAGGCCTCCCTGGCTGGGATCCACAGCATTGCTCTTGCAGGCCCTGTTAGAAGGGAATGAGTGCATTGCATGGATGAATTTTAAGCTCAGGTCAGTTTGAATGTATTTGTACCCTAGTTTCTCCAAGAATATAATCAGAACTCAGGCCAAGCCATGGACTGTATTAGATGAAGATTCTTACCATTTACTAACAAAGGACTGTACTCATCCCTCCCGCCAACTTCCTTATTGGGGATTAAACCCAGAGCCTTCACACTGTGCTCATTTTTATAAGGGAACACATTCTAAATGCAAAAGATTAATGTCTTCCTGATTTTTCAAAGAATGTGACCTACCAAAGAGAAAAATAAAAAGAATAAAACTGTGCTTATAAGCAGGATTCTTGTAAAACAAACCTAAATATAGGAGTAAACAATGTTATAAAACTTTTACAAGGTGGTCTCTTCTGGAGCTATTTTATGGAATAACATGAGCACTGTATTGGCCAATAAATAATGTTGCAAAAACGTAGACTATAAATAGTTTATTTCTTGACAGAAGCTATGGGAAACCCTGTGTGTAGGTAGACAAAGGCTGCAAGGTAATAGCTAAATATAAAACGGTTGTACATGAAAAGGAGACTTATGGCTCTTTACAAACCTTAGTTTTTAACAATTCAAATAATTTTATCAAGAAAAACATTCTTAGGACAATTTTTTTTTTTTTGGTGGTACTGAGGATCAAACTCAGGACCTTGTGCTTGTAAGGCAGATGCGGTGCCACTG